ATTGATTTTTATTTTAATTTCAATGAAATTTATAAATAAAAGTTTTTTTTTATAAATTTCCTTATAAAATTTAAGTATGTCAATTAATTTGATCAATAAGTCTGCAATTGTAAACGACATGTCGGCCGACTGATAACTACGTATCTTGTCGCATATGCATTCCAAAGTGAGATATGTTATTCTTGGATTCGTAAATAGCACATGTTAATTCCGAATCGACAGAAATCAATAAAGACACATAACATCGCTACTTTCTAATTTCCTCGTTTGTAATTTAGTCATTAAACGCTTTAATGAAAATAAATAAAAACTAACATTCTTATAAATTTTGTTATGTCTATGTCACTATTAGATTATCTGATTCCCCGTATTTATGTACATCTGAAAAATTTCCACATATTTTTGAAAACAGCTGTAAGATGATTGATATTTTACCATAAGAGAAAAGTCTTTTATTCTATATTGGACACTATATTATTGTACATCGGCATTATGCGTGATCCAAAAACATTTTTGAGGTATTATATTATTTACGAAGATTTTCTTCTCTGGTTATCGATTTAAATACAAATTTGTTATATTTGTCATGTTATATCTCGTTTTTACCTGTCTTATTTATGGCTCTACAGTACATGTATGATCGATTTGTATACAGTATTATATCACGGGTTTTTTTTGTCTATTTTATATCGATTTCGTAATCATTTGATTTGAATTTGCACAAAATGAAGCTTGTTGTTAAGTATAAAGTTATATGTCACTTGATACATGCTGTTGTTACGGAGAAGGTTATTTGGCACCGGAAAATTTTTTTTATCCCTCCAATTCTGCCTTATTTTAGAAACAATTAATTTCCCAAATCGAGGCAAAAAGCTTGTACTGTAACGAAATAAACACTTTATTTTTATTATTTTATCTATTCTATTATTGTAAATAAATCTTTCGCGGTAAAATATCCGCATGTATATAGACTATTTTTAATTTCCATCTGTTTTGGGAATAATGCACAATTTTGGTAAATTTATTTTCTTTTGAATAGTTCATCACTTATACTAAAATAGTAAGGATGGGTGGCTTAGTGACATGATTACAGGAAAATCAGCTGAATCACGTAAACACCGAAAAATCGCGTATACGTGATTGTACAAAGACTGCGCCTTAAGATCTTTCGGTGTTTGCGTTATTTTTGTGGTGTATACACCCAAATTTCCATGACTGCGTTATAATTTCGGTGTAAACACCGAAATTGTGGTGTATGTGTTCCTAAGAATTAAAATGTATTTAAAGACATACAAATTGCAAGCAGTAGAGATTAGAATTTTACAGTTCTACTTTTATGATTAATAAAGACTACATTCTATTTCTAAAACATTGTCCCATTTTCACTTGAATAAAGTATAAACTTATTTGAATATTCCCCTGCATATTGTTTTGAATCTGACTTGAACTTTAATAAACCGAATCGAGACTCAATTTCATGGACCAAATTAACTTATAACCTCAACTTGGAATATTAGGACTCAGATTTTGAATCATTTATTGTTAAGGAATGCTACCTATGACCAGATATTTGACTTTGATAAATCATCACGTGAACACAAAGCCATACTAGACCATCATCCACTTTTGGCCTTATTATCTTTAAGATTGCCACACTCCCTTAAATATCCTTAAATTGTTACCATTGTTCTGGAAATCGCCCTATTGATCACTATTGTTAATGACATCACCTGTCATTGTATCACCCTTTCATAACACCTTGTTGATACTAAGTATTCGTAAAATTGTTCTATTATTTCTTTTGTTCTTTACTATTATAAAAAGACCCATTTCGCTCTCCATTTACCTTCATCTCCATGTACACCATTGGAGTTAAATTGGCTCTTACCTATATTATTTTATTCCGCTCTTCAAACAACAGTTACTATTGGTGCCAATTGTGTGGATAAAACATTAATCTTTCACAATAAATTATAATAAAATCGATTAATATCCCCCGCCTTCAGAAGAATCAAATTTTCATCTCTCCCAATCAATGATCATAAGCCTATTTATAAAAATAAATATAAACCCTTTTAGTAAAATATAACAAACTGAATCCATCATTAAGAAGAGTGAATCAGAAACTTACCTTGACCTGGAAAAAAGTAATGGCTCAACAAAATCCCACCAACCCTCCACAGCAGCCAAACCCCCAACCGCCCAATCCAAATAATCACCTCAACAATTTGGCCACCCAGATTGGTTTACTAATTCAACAAATGCAAGCCGCACCAGCTGCTCAAATCATTGTTCCCATCAGGAGTTAAACCTTGTTTTCTATCCCAACTTCGCTAGAGGGAACCAAGATCCAATGATCTGGCTTGATAAGGTAGAAAAGGCTTTTGCAGCTAATTTAATTAATGATAATCAAAAGATTGCTGTTATGTCCCCCATCTCAAAGGGTTTGCTCAACCTGGTGGGCCACTATCCAAAGACTTCCCAATCCCATTAATGCTTGGAACAACAGTGCTAATCCCACTCAGAGTTTCCACCCACCTTTATCGGCCATTTTTGTACCCCCACATTGGAAGAAAAGTGGTTTGCCCAGCTTGCTACCCGCAAGCAACAACTAAATGAAGACGTCGATGCCTACTATACCTCCATTCAGAAGCTTCTTCGACGTGTTAAATCTGGGTTCATCAGTACCCTGAAACAGCCAAGGCACAAATTTTTCTTAATAGTTTACGACCCGAATTCATCCTAGCCATTGCTCCCTCCACCCCGAATACTCTTCAGGTCATTTATGAGCATGCCAAGGCATATAAGAGTGCCTGCCATCAAAGTCTCCCTTATTCTACCACTTCATTAAGTGCTTTGTATTCAGCACACTCTACCCCTGCTGCTCTTATTGGGGTCCAACCCCTGGTACCTACCTCTGATTCGGTGATCAAAAAAACTGACTGAGGCTGTTAACAAAATGCTCCTTCAGTTACAGGAGAGAAGACCACCTACTTCAGGAAATACTAGCCGGCCTGTGTATTATAGGTGTGGTCAGCCTGGCCATATTAGTCAGAATTGTAAAATGACCAATCCCCAACCTAATTTTTCTTCTAACCCGGTTCCTTAAAACTAGCCAAACCTACCTCCGATTCAAGCCCTTGTTAATCCTCCTTTCCATCCACCACTATCTGTGCCTATAAATCTAAGACCTAACAATGCAACCGAAAATCGGCAGCAAGAAACTCTTCAGGCTTTATTAGCTTTGGCCACTAGTCTAAATCCTCTCAGTGGTAAAAGTAATCACTACATCTATATCAAAGAACATTTCCTTGTTTGCTGCAGCTAAGCAGGACTCTCAACGATCTAGTAGAAATCTTCGTCCTACAAAATGAAGAAAAGAAGAATTAGGAGAAGAGAAATTGGAAAAGAAAACTTTAGAACAACTGATAGGGTAAGAGGTAGATAAATAAGAAAAAGTTGACAACTTCTCTGATATGATAATAGATCCTGCTGAAACAGTTGTGAACCCTCCTGTTGTCTTTGCTAAGGTTGTCGCTGCGAAGCCTAAACGTATCGTCTGTAAGAAAGTTCAAGAAGATGAACTCCCCCAGATTGCGTCTTTGGTTTCTCCATATTCAATTGTCACAGATATCTGGGATAAGCCTGCAAATATTATGTACGGCCAACTCTTTCGTATTGCCCCTGCATTACAAGAAGAACTGGGTAGGAGTCTGCAGAAAAAGAAGGCCTCTACTAAAAGAAAAGTAAAGGCAAATATTAGCCTCAGCACCGAAAAAAAATCCACTACCCTTTATTGTGATGCCTAGATTCTAGGTGCAATCATTCCCTAATCATTAATAGGGTTCATCAGGAAGTGTCATTTTGTCGCATCTCCTACAGGATCTAGGTATTAAGGTCGAACATTTCTTCACAGTGAATATGATAAATGTCAATAGTAAAAGTAAGAGGACTTTAGGAGAGATATCCAACTTACTCTTTAAAGTCGGGGTGATGGAAATCTCTATTAATGTCGTCGTTACAGATGCGGGATCGTATCAAGCCATCGTGGAAATGATTGGCTTTCTAAAGCCCAGGCCAGGATTAACTGAGTAGCCTCAGAAATGACCCTTATTTAGAAGGGTAAGGAACTTACCCTTTCTGTAGAATTCAAAAAAATCACTCATGTTTCTCTTGGTAATAACCACCCTATTATGGTCCACAATATTGATGAAGAAGCTGAAGAAGAAGAGGTCGAAGAAGAGTTGGAGGATAGTGATAAGGAATATGAAGAAGAAGAATTAGAGGATAGGATCTATAGATACTCCGAAATAGATGAAAACGAAACCCACAATTGCTTACCTGTACCTAGCCCTCCTGATACCCTAATTTCAGATTCCCCCATTGATGTATCTTATTCCAATTCACCCCTCCTACCTCTATCCCCTAAAAATAAAGACAATAATATTCTTTCTGTAAACATGTTGGCATCTCATACAAGTGGTCCCGTCTCTCTCCTGCTTAACACTCATGACCCCTTACCTCTTACCTCTTCGGTTCAGCTCTTTATAGATGCTTGCTCTTTTTCTATCTGGCTGGAGGATTGTCAACATAGGGAGATTCTTGTTTCTCCCCCTAACATCAACAATTTACCCCATTAGTCTACTATGACCCTGATTCAGATAGTTCTAGTGAAGATGAATAGTATTCCTACTTAAACTTTAGCTCCCTAAAAGTAGAGACAGAAGATTTTGACTCTGACATGGATAATATAATCATAAAGATAAATGAAGGGCTAGAATAAAGAAAAAAACAAACCCTCTAAGGTTGCATATTGTTATAACAAAGCTGAAAACGCTTATATTAAGGAAGAAACTGTCAAGCCTGACCCCTGTGAAAGTATTACAAATGCCTCTGCCACTGAATCCTCTGTTAGTGATCTTTTTTACTATTACTATGAAGACAGCCAGGATCTCTACCAGATCAGAAGATTAGAATCTAGACAACACTTCTGGCTTCAGCAATTTCTAGATAATAACCTAGACCTTTTACCTGAGAGAAAGAGCCACTAGGCTGAACTAACCTTGTAAAGCATCATATCGACACCAGCAACACACTCCTGATTAAGCAATATCTCTACCAGCATTCCTCTGCTGAGAAAAAGATTATTCAAGATGAAATCAGATATATGATTTCAACCGGTATTGTTCATCCTTGTCAAAGTCCCTGGACCTCCTCCGTCGTATTTGTTCTCAAAGAAGATGGGAGTACCTGATTCTGCATCAATTATCATAAACTAAATACCATCACCGTCAAAGATAATTACCCCCTCCCTCGCATCGATGATTTTTTAGATGCCCTATCTGAATCATGTTGGTACACCTCCTTAGACCTTGCTAGTGGATACTGGCAGGTCGAAGTTAATGAATTAGATCATCTTAAAACTGCCTTTACCACCCCTTTCGGTACTTCCAATTCAATGTTATGCTGTTCAGCTTGGTAAATGCCCCTGCTACGTTTCAACGACTAATGGATTATATTTTCTAGGATCTGATCAGCACATGTGTAGTTATATATTTGGACGATATTAATGTCTATTCTAAAAATTTTGAAGAACACCTAATTCACCTAGAAGAGGTTTTTCATCAGTTAAACTCCACTTGCCTTAAATTAAAACTCACCAAGTATCACATCACTAAACGGAAATTAAAATTTTTAGATTACATAGTCAGTCAAGCCAGGATCGCTACTGATCCAAAAAAAATTGAGGCAGTTCAGAATTTTCCTGTCTCCTGTAATATTCGGCAACTTAGAGGCTTTTTGGGATTAGCATCCTACTACCAGAAGTTCATTAGGGGCTTTACTAATATTGTGGCACCTTTAAACCAACTCCTAAAAAAAGATATTAGTTATAGATGGACTATTGACCAACAAACAGCTTTTGAAACCTTGAAAAAAAATTGACAACTGCTCCTATACTCACTTATTCTGACTTCTCCCAGACCTTTATTCTCTTCACCGATGCTTCCGACCTGGCTTTTGGTGCTATTCTTGTCCAGAATAATGAGGCTCATCATGAGAGAGTTATTTTTTATACAAGTCATAGCCTCTCCTTAGCTGAAAAGAATTATTCCGTTACTGAAAAGGAATGTTTAGCCATTGTCTGGGCTGTTGGGTATTTCTGGTCTTACCTGTATAAGAACTGCTTTATTTTATACACTAATCATTCCATGCTCCGATCTTTATTTGTGATCAAACTCCCACAGAATCGTCTTGCACGATGGGTTATTACTCTAATGGAGTACTCTTTTATCACCGTTTATAAGCCTGGAAGGCACCACACCAATGTCGATAGTTTATCCTATATCTAAAAAGATATTTTTAATTTTAATTAGTTAAAAAAAAAAACAAATAAAAAAACAATATACTTATCTTTCAAATCTAATAATCCAGTTCAGGTTACGGTGTTCTGGCAACCGTTTTTTTTATATATCCTGAAGTTATCACATATTCTTCCTCTAAGTTACCTAGTAATATATAGAATTATTAATAAAATTTTTCCATAGACGCCCTTACCTCATTCTGTGATTGTACGCTAATTATTACTTTTTAGAAAAAAAAAAATAAAAAAAATAAAATAAAATAATAATAAGAAATAACATATTAATTAGAAATTATGGATCCAACCCTTTATAATATTTATCTTTGATTCTTTCAGAAAACTGTCATTCCTTCATATTACACTAAGAAGCAAATTAGAGACCTCAAGCACAAGATCTGACATTATATCATGATCAATCAGTTGCTCTACAAGACTAACTGACACGATTCTTTACGACCCTTGAGGGTCTTGAAAACGAATAAAGTCCAAGCCGTCCTTTTTAGTATGCATGAAGACCCACTCGCCAGACATTTTGGATTCCAAGCTACTTATCAAAGAATTGCTGCCCGCTATTATTGGCCTCAAATGGGCACTAATATAAAGAAATATACTCAAACGTGCGAGTGGTATCAAAAAAAGAAGCATCCACAAACTAGGAACCCTTGTACCCTATTAAAGTCGGGCAAATCTTTGATCTGGTCAGAATCGATATTGTAGGACCCCTTTCCTTAACTTCTAAGAGCTGCCAATACATCGTAGTAGCCACTGAATACCTTACAAAGTGGCCTGAAGCCCGTCTTATCAAAAAAGCTGATGTTAAAACCGTTGCCGATTTTATTTTTAAAGACCTTATCTGTCTACATGGTTATCCAAGGAATTGCTATCAGATAGGGGATCCCATTTTTGTAATCAGGTAGTTGATGCTCTCTGCAAGAAAATGCGTGTTACTCACCATAAGCCCACAGCATATCATCCACAAACCAACAGCTTGGTTGAACGGTTTAACCGGACCCTTTGTGGAGTGTTGAATAAGTGTGTTAACCAATTTCAACAATTTTGAGACAAATACGTAGCACCTGCCCTATTTGCTTACCAGACTACCTGTCACTCTACTACAGAATATGATCCTTTCTTCTTGCTGTACAGGCATAACGCCATTCTTCCAATTGAAATGTGTCTCATGACCTTTCTAGACAAACCCAATATGGAAGAGGAGTTGGAGTCCCAAATATATCGATGTCTTGAAAGGATATATAGAGAATTAACAGTATCACAAAGGCTGTAGACAAAATAAGAAAAGACCAAAATCGTCAAAAAGCCTATTATGAAAAAAAAATAGGTTAGAGTCATATAGGATCGGTGATTAGGTTCTCTTATATAGGAGTAAACTAGCCACATCGCACAGTGCTAAATTAGAACCCCAGAATTTGGGTTTCTATTATATTCATAATGTACTACCCAACAGGATGTATAAACTATGAACAATCGACGAGCACATGCTGAAGAAGAGATATCATGAGAACCGGTTGTCACATTATTATTCCTAACAATAATTTCGGACCCCATTGTATTATGTTAGCCATGATTTTTTTTTATAAAAAGCCTTCTCCTGGACCCTTCTAAAGAAGAAAGAAATAAAAGAAATTCTGTTAAAGCATGAATCCTATTGAAATCCCCTCCAATATCCAAAAAAAACTTGCTCTATTAAGAAGTTAAATTGAAAAGACCGGCTTTGATGAAACGTATATAGTATCTCCTAATAGTATCCTTTACTTTACCGACTAGCAAATCCAACTTGTAAACGCTAAGAATTCTAAAAGTGAAAGTGATGGTCAGAGGCTTCGTTGAAGAATGCTAGAATTCTTTCAAGATATTCAGCGAAGCAGGATCTCTACTACACCAATTGAAGCTTCTTCAGGAGATATCTGAAAAGAAAAGGTATCAATGATATGTAAGAGAATCTCCTCTGATCAAGTTAACCGTAGGTCGCAACTGCCCTATTACTATGAACTGGGGTCTTTAATAGAAGAAGCCACCTGGAGTAAGAGTGCTAAGACATTTGTTAAGCAAGTCGTGCCCGGGAAATCAAAAGAACTATTAACTACTGCCCAACGAACCTACCAACTTTATAGGTCCCAAGGCTCCTCTTATCTTTTTATTACCTAGCATCTTACTCTCTTTATTATTTACCATTTACTCAAAGAAGATTTTCTAAAATTAAATGTGGAAGCTCAAAAGGCTGTGCAAACTGAACTGAATGCAAAAATTACCGATTTTGTGGTAGCTCAATCGCAAGGGGAGGCATATGTAACGAAATAAACACTTTATTTTATTATTTTATCTATTCTATTATTGTAAATAAATCTTTCGCGATAAAATATCCGCATGTATATAGACTATTTTTAATTTCCATCTGTTTTGGGAATAATGCCCAATTTTGGTAAATTTATTACTTTTCTTTTGAATAGTTCATCACTTATACTAAAATAGTAAGGATAGGTGGCTTAGTGATATGATTACAGAAAAATCAGCTGAATCATGTAAACACTGAAAAAATCGCGTATACATGATTATACAAAGACTGCGCCTTAAGATCTTTCGGTGTTTGCATTATTTTTGTGTGTATACATCCAAATTTCTAAAAATGCATTCTAATTTCAGTGTAAACACCGAAATTGTGGTGTATGGTTCCTAAGAATTAAAATGTATTTAAAGACATACAAATTTCAAGCAGTAGAGATTAGAATTTTATAGTTCTACTTTTATAATTAATAAAGACTACCATTTCATCTCTAAAACATTGTCCTGTTTCTATTTGAATAAAGTATAAACTTATCTGAATATTCCCCTGTGTATTGTTTTGAATCTGACTTGAACTTTAATAAACCGAATTGAGACTCAATTCTATAAACCAAATTGACTTATAACTTGGACTTGGAATATTAAGACTCGGATTTTGAATCATTTATTGTTAGAGAACACTACCTACGACCAGATATTTAAATTCAATAAATCATCACGTAAACACAAAGCCATACTAGCCATCGTCTGCTTTTGGTCTTATTATCCTTAAGATTGCCACTCTCTCTTAAATATCCTTAAATTGTTATCATTGTTCTGGAAATTGCCCTATTGATCACCATTGTTAAAAACATCACCTGTCATTGCATTACCCTTTCATAACACCTTGTCAATACTAAGTATTAATAAAATCATCCCATCGTTTCTTTTGTTCCTTACTATTATAAAAAGACCTATTTCGCTTTCCATTTACCTTCATCTCCACATATACCATTAGAGTTAAATTGGCTCTTACCTATATTATTTTATTCTGCTTTCACAATAACGATTACAGTATGATGTTAGTTAAAACAATAGATGGTAAAAGTTAGTATATTCATATGGTTAGACAAATTTATATAACCTGCTATATTAATGCAAGTTTAAGTGCAGGTTTCACGTTTTTACTGCATCCAATGCATTATCCCATCATTTTCTGCATAAGTTATGCTAGAGTATATAGTAAAATAGTACAGTACAGTAATGCAGTTAGTAAAGACTTTCAAAAAAAATAAAAAGTTTTTACTGTACTCAGATGGACGCATGACTATATAATTTACGCATCATACATAATTTATGCATCATACATCATAAATTGATATCTGGTATTATGTAGCTGATTTATTTGAT